GAGATGCAGAGGTGGGGGCTCGGGAGGAAGTCATACCCTTCCCAGAGATTCCCCCATCCTTCTGCAGTTCTCACCTCAGACCCTGGCACCAGTGCCACTGGCTGGTAGAGGCCAGGCGAATGAGGGGGCGGGGACAGGGAGCCTGTGAGTCCATCCTCCAGAGTAGGACCAACATTGCCGGGTGGAGACAAACTGCTTCAGCCACTGAGATCAGAGGAAGCCCCTCGGCACAGGCACAGCAGGACCCACCCTGGTATTTTCCCTCGGGATGAATTTGCCAGGAAGCTGACGCCCAGTGATCTCAGCCTAGCTCCTCAAGGCAGCCGTGGGTCCCGCATCCTGTCTGGCTCACCCATGTTCACCCACCTCCTTTTCATTCTATCCTTCTCTTCCAGGGAAGATATCTATTTTTCTTTAAAATTAATTATGCAAGTGACACGTGAACACATTCTGTGTCGAAAGACATCAAAAGGTTCGAGTTATTGGGACTATCCCACCCCCATGCTTCAGGTGTTCCATCTGCACAAATGAAAAGGTGTGACCCCCTTCTGTCTGTCCTGTGGTGTCAATGCAGCTGTGCGCGCCCGCGAGTCCACCTCCAGTATCATCTCCATAAGGTGTGTTAGTCCCCATTTGCGTTTCCCATCTGACAGTGTACACCTGGGACGCTTTCTTCTTTTTAACAGCTATAGATTATTCCACAGTTTAAAAATAAAGCCATCCCTGCACGGACGAACCTTTAGGTAGTTTTCAATATTTTGCTGTTGCACAGCCACCGTGGACCCCTGCTCGCTCCTCTGTGAGCATAACTCCAAGTGTCCTTGGGTAGTCCAACCTCGGCCAGAAGGCAGGGAGAGATTTCCATGACACCAGCCGTGTCCACAGCAAGGGAGCTGCTCCCTTCTCAGGTTTTCTTGGGTCCTTAGGTCCAGAGTGCAGGGCTGGCTTTCTTTCGCGCAGGCCTGTGTCACGGCAGCTGCTCCCCGAGAGAGCCCCATTCCCAACTGGATTATGAGTTAGCAAGGGGCCTCACCGTGTGTGCCTCTGGGGACACCTCAGCATGTTCTCGTCCTGGGAGAGTGGATTTGGCAGAACAGTGACTGCTGAGCTGAGGTCCCCTGCCTTACCCTTGCACCTTGACACCCCCTTCCCAACTCCTAGAGGGATAGGAAGTCAAAGCTACTTTTTCTGGGTGGGGTTCTGTGTGCACCATCCCTTTCCCTCAACATTAGAAGCCAGCAAGGGTCCAATGGGTGAGGCTTGGCTGTCCTTTCACACCTGGCCCCCCCTGAGCCCTAGCTCACCCCCCACGGCAGGCCACCATGCCCACCCTGGGACAGCAGCTCTGCTCCTGAAGCCATTCTCTCCCCACCAAGCTACTTTCTCCCGGGGCTCTGCCCCCAGCAAGGAAGCAGGCATGGTCCCTTCAGAGATACAGGAGTGAGCGGTTAATAACTGCTTATCTGCATCTGCCGTTTTACAGTTGCCTTAGTGAGAGAAGTCATCTCTCAGGCAGACTGGCTAAGTGATAGCTCGAGAAGTCCTGGGGGCAGGAGGGGTGAATTTGCCCAGTGGGCCCTGGGTAATGCTGCTCTTTCCTGGCAGAGGTGCAGAGGGACATAGGGGTGAACTCTGACCCCTGGCCTCCGGGCTCTGCTCCACAAGAGCAAATTTGTGTTTATGCCACACCCTGCCACTAGAGGGCGCAGCAAGGGGTGCTCATCCTCATTCACGAGTAGGTCTCCCACAAGCCTCTGAGGGGAATTGCTGTCTCAGTTTATAGATGAGGAAACTGGGGATCAGAGAAAGGAATGAAAAAATGGCTGCTAGCTGGAAAATGTGTCAACTGAGCACAGCTTCCTGCATGGAACTCCAGGGAAAGCACACCAGGAGGTGAGAGCAGAACACTGTTGGCACCTGGAGGGCAGGCTCCAGGGAGGCTTTGGAACAAGACCCCTCCTGCTGGGCACACCTGTCAGCTCTCCTGGGCAACCTTTGTCTCCCCACCTCTACTAAAGCCTAGTGTGCCCCATTGTCCTCGGGACCTTGATGGGCTCCCAGCACTGCTAAGCACCCCACCCCCAAAGTGGCCAAAGTGTTGGGGATAAAATGCTCTTGACAAAAACATATTGACCTCCTGCTCTTGATCTGGGCACTGAGAACCAAGCAGAGCCAGAACAAAACAAGGCCCTGACCTTGCTGAGAAGGGGATACAGCTATCCCCTGCTTTCCAAAAGTTCTCTGCTTTTAGGAGTGATTTACATGAGTCTCTGCTTTTGAAAATGGAAAGAAATTTGAAAAGGATTTCCTCTTTTACGACAAAAGGAGAAAATAAAAATCACTTTCAGCATCTGTTTTGCAGCAGCCACCATGGAAGCAGAGTGCACCCCAGCAGAGAGAGGCCCCCCAAGCTCCAGGAACACTTTATACCAACTCTATATTTATTATATCATTCCTGCTTTTACTACATGCTAGTGTTATTTGAGAGTTTATGTGTTGTTTGGTATAATTTGGTGGGTTATTTTTGGGGGTTATGGGAACACTCAAAGTTTCCGTATAAATTAATGGTAATTGCTTATTTTCTTTACACCATTTTAGCTTGAGAAGTTTCATAGAACACTACTTTTGGATATGGGGGCAACCTGTATATACTATTAGTGTCAGGGGTAAGGGGTGTCAAAGACAAGGGTAAACAGAGTATGTGTGTCGTGGGGAGGGATTCTGTGTTGAATGAGGGCAAGAGAGGCCTCTGAAGCAGTTGCAACCGAGCAGAGGCCTACAGGGAGTGAAGGAGCAAGGGGGTGGTTCTGGACAGAGGGGCAACCAGTGCACAGATGCTAAGCAGGTGTGCCCAGGCAGGGCTGAAAGATAAGAAGGAAACCAGAGACTGAGCAAGCGGAAGAATGGAGAGAGCTGAAGTCAAGGAGCAGAGATGCTAGGGAGGTGACAACAGGGTTTGGGGAGGCCTCAAAGATTCTGGTTCACAATGGAGCTATGAAAACAAAAACTGTGGCTGAATTCCAAAAGCTGGACAAAAGCAACAGCTTCTTTTTCTTTTTCTTTTTTTTTTTCTTCTGGAATCCTTTCCTTGTTATCCTTATCCATGGAAACAACGTGGTCATTACCCCCCCTGCGCCTCCTCCTTCTCCAAAGCTGCCCCTGACCTTGTCCTGAACTGGCTTGCCTGTGTGTAGCAGACAGTGGCTGCCTCCCAAGGCCAGCGAGGGGACGGGAGGAAGGAGGCCCTGGGAGACGCAGGCAGCAGCACGAGGGACGACGTCACAGGGCCTCTGACCGCTATTCATTTCAGTCCCCAGGTGTCTCCATCAATAACCGTCTGCCATGACCAGAAGAGAAGAGGGGGAGGGCGGGGAGAAGGGGGATTGGGGTCTGGACCAGAGGGATGAGATGGAATGGGAGAGGAGAGAGGCTCTTTGGCTTCTCCTAGCCTGAAGTAGGTGAAAGGCGGGCAAGGCAGAGGCGTCAGGGGAGCTGAGAGTCTCTGTCTCCCCAGTTTCTCGCCCTGCTTCCTTTTCCCCAAGTCTGTATTCCCCCTCACACATGTATTCCTTTCCATCTCTCTGAAGCTAGGAAGAAAAGAGAGGCAGGACCAATTTCTACAATGGAAGAGTAGAAAATGAGTTTGAATTGGATGGTGGGGGAGGCCAGCAGAGGATGCCGGGAGCACGATGTTCCCTGGGGAAACAAAAGCCCAGAGCAAGCCTGATGACAGGGTTGATGTAGGGACTAGATTGGCACCACCACCCTGCAGGCATCATGAGAAGAGAAATTATGCCCCTTGACTGGGCGTAGAGCCTGGCACACAGGGAGCACTCAGTTATTGACAAGTAGCCATGAGAATGACCAAGTGGTCAACTATAGTCTGTCAATAAGGGAAATTGGCTTGAGATGGACTAGACCAGTCAAGGAGGGCTGCCTGGAGTAGGTGGAATTTGATCAGATTCTTGATGGATGGGACTGGCAGCTGTGAAAATAGGAAGAGAACACATACCAGGAGAGCACATTGTAAGAGGGAAGGAGAGGGTGAGAATGCATGTGGTTGGGAGGGGCTCAGAGAAGATAGTGGGGTGTGGAACAAAGTACCAGCCTATAGGGGGCCTTCTCTGGCCCCACAGATGGCTTTGGAAAGTCTCAGGTCTGGTTCCCAGGGACTCAAATCTGCAGCTGACTCTCCCCATGTCCCAGGGTCTTGCAAACCTCCCAAGCCATACCCAGCCATACTTGCAGGATTGGGAAAAGGCCCCTGACATGGGGGACATTAAAGGAACTCCCAGAAAGACACCCCAGTAAACAAGCATTCTCTTTGCCTTGTCACCACACCTGAAGGGTCAGTGCTGAAAAGTCACACCTTGAGTCCGGCACATTGCTCTGTCAAATCCAGTCTTCCTGGTCAAGTCCTGTCAAAATCCCTCCAGGGGAGACCTGACTGGACGTAGGAGACCTTCGACTCAACCCCCTCAGTTCACACACAAGGAGAGTGAGGCAGGACAGGAAAGGGGATTTGCTGGGGTCACCCAGGGAATTAAGAGGCAAAGAGTAGCCAGTGCGGTCTGGAGCCGCACACTGGTGGGTGGCTCTGCCCAGGAGCCCTCTGAGTGGGAGGAGTGTGAAGGTATCACTGCAACAGTGATAACAAGAGCTGGGGCCGGGGACACATGGACAGCCCCATTGGTTTTGTTATGACAGCCAGGCTCGGGGTCTTGCTCGCAGATGGAGCCTTTATGAGGCAGGCTTAGGGGACCCCTGCTTCATCCCTTGGGGGAACAGCAGCTGTACTCCCAAGGGGCCAGAACAAGAACTCGCAGTCAAATGTGACTAGAGGCCCTGGGGTGAGGGGCAGAAGCTGGCCCTCCTGGGGGTTACTGGGCTGGAGCAGAAACACACTGAACAGCACCTAAGAGAAGGGGAGACTGAAACGCAGGAGGAGAGGGCGTGGGCAGGGTGCGCGCTGCATGAGGGCAGACGCCAGAAAGAGACCCGCCAGGAGAGGGGGCCTGAGGGGTGCCGGCTGGGGAGACTTCACCGAGGGAGCAAAACAGAAAAGCAACGGGAGGGACGCTCAGCGGACAGACAGAAAAACCCGCGAGGCAGGAAAGCTTGAGTGGAGATCACAGGAGACACAGAGAGGTGGGGAGAGGGACCAGCAGGGAGGGGCTGGAGACGGCAGGGCGGGCGGATGGGCGCGCTGGCAGGCCGGGGGCGCCCCACTGACCCCTCTCCGCCCTTGCTTCTCTCCCCAGGCTGCGCTTTCCTCACCTACTGCGAGCGTGAGTCAGCGCTGAAGGCCCAGAGCGCGCTGCACGAGCAGAAGACTCTGCCCGGGGTAAGTGGCGCCCGCCGGGGCGCGAACCACGGACGTGCCGACAGGGGGCGACTGCGGGAGGACGGGCTGCGCCGCGGCGGGAGCTGGGGGTCGCCGGCCGGGGCGCGCGGTTCGCCTTCTCTCGGGAGCTCGCGCGCCGCCCTTTGCGCCCCGGATGCCGCGGGGCGCCGAGCCGGGGAGGGGGCTCGTGCTTGGGCTCCCCGCGCAAAGCTCGCCCGGCTGGCAGCGCGCCCCGCCGTCCAGGCCCGACGGGATCCCGGGCGGGGTCCAACTTGGCTATGGCCACGAAGCTCGGGCGCGGCTCCTCCCCTGACCCTCCCCGGCGCCGCGGCGGCTCCGGTCCCTCCTCCGCGCTCTGCCCGCGCGGAGAAGCGGGGTGCTCTGGCACCCAGGAGCCCGGAGTCGCCGCCGTCCACCCTGCGGGGCAACCCGAACACCCGCCGGTCTGGATGTCTGACAAAGGCTGCTTCTGGGGCGGGCTGGGGGGGAGGGGGCGTCTGCGCGCCCCGACTCGGCGCCACGAGTGAGATCACCCTGGTTTATTTAAGGAGCCAGCCCTAGTCTTTGATAAACTATCGCGCCTCAGCCCTGGTTTATAGCTTCTGTGCGGGGGAGAGGAGAATTATTTATGACCCCCCTAACTGGGTGTGATATCAGCCATGGCTATTATCGAGACTAGTTCATCACCATAAAATAAGAAGTGTTCCTCGGGTCAAGGGTCTGTGCGGTCTCTCCTGTGGGTTCAGAGAGATGGGGGGGGGGCGGGGGGGGCGAGATATACGGCTCTCGGAGTATCTAAAGATAAATGGAAGATGTGAGTGTTCGTGCGCATAATTTAAAGAATGTATACATACCTCGTGTTTACGCGTACACAATGGGCACTGCAGGGAAGCACCGTGTTCTCTATGTATGCTCACCCATGTGTACACACGCATGTTTACATTCTTACCAGGCAAACCATATGTAAACACACGTTTCCATTCCTGCCCCGCAGTTGGAAAGGTTAACCAGGTAGAGGGAGAAAACGCGAGCCGGGCTGGAGCAGCCTTCCTTTGCATCAGAGAGCCTTCCTCACCCATTTAGGGGCGGGATGGGCCTTCCTTCCATTAAGACAACCTTTGAATTGTATTTGGGTATTTGTGTTTGCAAAGCACGGGGCTGAGCCATCTTAATAACATACCCTCAAATGCAAATGTATGGAAATCGGCACGGCACAGGTTTTGTGTGGAGCCCAGTTCTGGCACAGTGGCCATTCCCCAGTTGGTTTTTTAGTGGCGCGGCTACATGCACATATATTATAGTAATTACTTTCTGGGTGCCCTCTGTAAGACAGCAGAAATATGCTCCACATCGCCCCATGTTATGTGTGAAGCAGAAAGCCATATTGTACGATAATCAAAGGTTTCTGAGAAAGGTTTGTGTTGATTAATAAAGTGTTTATGGTACTTTGTTTTGGGGGCGATTGTGATAGATATTTTAGAGTCACCCAAATGGAATAGCAAATACCACGTTTGTGATGGGAGGCCCTTCATCAGCTTGAGAGAGATTGCTGGGGAGTTTCATGATGGCTAAAAGCCTGGGAATTAGGTGGAGGAAACGGAAAGAAAAGGGGCAGAGGGAAGCTTAGGATTTTTGAAGGGGAAGAAGCCAGGGACTGAGAGAATTTCAGTATTTGAGTGTGAATTGTTCAGGATCTAACATTAACTTGTGGTTGTTTATTTTACATATAATAGAATAGCTAAATGATGGAGTGTATTAGTTCTTTAATAATTTATAGAAATACTTTGATGTTGCAGTAATTACATTAAAGGTCACATATCAAAGGTAATTTGGTTGAGCAGCTGTGATGGTTTCTCAGAAGCAATCAATACCACTGTCCGTAGTGCTGATTTCACCAAGGGGCCTGCCAGATTAAAGAAGGCTTATTACCAGGCAGAAAGGCCCTGGGGAAATCAGGAGCACATTGGAGCGACGCGCCAGCCCCCCCTTCCACCGATAATTAACACTGCTCCCCATAATCTGTGCTAATCCTTCATACTGGGAGATCCAGTGGCATTTTTCTGAAATCACAAAGACAAGTTGGGCAAGTTTGGGAAAAGGACAAAAAGAAATGTGAATGTATGTTGGGAATAGGCGGGGCAAAGAGAGAGGCCAACAGTGGAGCTAAAATATAGCCTAGAGTTCCCTTGCAGTGCCTGGAACGCCATCCTTTCTTCAAAAGCCTCCTGGCGAGACTCATGGCCTCAAAGACCGCATCACACAATCCTTAGGGCAAGCATAGCCCACGACGGGGAGGGACAGGAAAAAGACAGGATTGTAGCTCAAACTTCCCAGGGTACATTGTCCCTGCCCAAACACACATGGAGACAGATGAAAAAAAAAATGGTCAGATAAAATTATGCTTTAAAGTGGAGTCATTTGGATTCCAGAAAACAGAACCGGTGTTATTACTGCTGGTTGCTTCTCTCCTTTGAGATCAGTGAAAGTGTGCCGCTAGCAAATGCAGGGACAGCACAAAGCAAAATGCTCTTACCCAACCAAATAATAGGAGCTCCCACCAGCTGAGACTGTGCTGGTCGGTGCCTGTTTGGTTGGGGGCCAGAGAGAGACCTCTACTTGTCTGGGGTGACCACACTAGGTGCCCCAGTGAGCACACTCTGTGTCTGACTAAAGAGAATGAAATTGAAAACAGAACCTAGAAAACTGGTAACCTCAGCAATTTAGGCACTTTTCCAGACTTCAAAATCCATTAAAATCAATCCATTAAAATCAGCCCAGCACTTTCTCACCGCGGAGAGAAAGAGGGGAGAAGATAGTGCAGCCAACCCATTCTGTTTCCCAGCAAGTTACAGAACTGACATCCTGTTGCCAGCAAGGAAAACAATCCCATTGTTGTCACCCATGCACACCCACACAACACCAACAGCAACAAAGACAGGACTAGTGGCGCTTCTCTTTCATGTACTTATTTGGGGACTGAGAAGGGAGGTGACATTTTTCCTGAGAGAATTATAAGGTCAGAAACCAGAGCACAGTGTCTGTTTTTACAAATCAGAGGTCAGTGTCCCGGGAAACCAGCCTAACCAAAGGCCCTTGGATGGCTGATGAAGTCATCCCGGACCAATGTCACAAATGGATTATTATTTTTGAGTTTGGCATGATTTTAATAGAATGGGATTACTAAACCATGAAGCCTCATCAGGGTTCTTTTGAGCAGTGTCTTCTGCCAGCATCTAGGCAGAGTAATTTCATTTTTCTAAATTCTCCATCTCTGTCTCTCCCTTGCACTCTTGATCTCACTCTCAGCCCCCTGCCTCTTTCCAACCCACCCCCCTATTCCAAAAGGTTGTCACACTATTAATAAGGCATAGTCAACACACAGCAGTTTTTCAGTCCATCAACAAGTATTTCTTGACGATGTCTGTGCACAGTGCTAAGAGTCCTGGCAGACAGAGATAAGAAAAGTGCTTCTCCCTCTTGGAGTTGTCCAGCCACGTGGAGGACAGAAGTTCACACACACACACACACACACACACACATCATCCTCATCATCCTCATCATCATCATCAATGATGCAATGTAGTATGTTATTATAAAATGGGTAGCATGGGTAATTGCTCAATAATAACAGTGAATACTTATTAAGTGCTTACTATCTGACAGGCATGTTACCTCCATTATCTCATTTTATCTTCACAAAAACCCGATGGGGAGGAGAGTTGATCATCCTACCCACAGGAGGAGAACCACATTCAGAGAGATTAAACAATTCACCCAAGGTCACACACTTTATAAATGACCAGGTAATGACAGCACTGGACCTGCTACCAGCACCCAGGGCATGCACCTCTCTTCTCTAGCACCACCAGTTGCTTTAGGAGTTTGGAAAGGGGACCCAGATGACTCTGGGGTACAGGAGTTAATCAAAGGTTTTGCTCAGGATATGGGCAGGGTGGGATAGGGTTGGGGATAAGACAGTCCTGTCAAATGGGAGCACTAGGCTGGGAACCAGCTTAAAGAGAAGGTACATGAGGGGTGAGGGCTGTGATCTGGGCAGGAGAAGCCCACTCTGGCACCCACATATGCATAGGAGGCCTCTTAGAAGATTTCTTCTCCTTCAAATAGGTCCCTGATACTCAGTCTCAGCTCCTTCACCTTTGGGGCTTTGCAGGGAATTGTCTTCCAGTAAAAGTCCATCTGCTTGCAAGGTTAGGGATGTAGAATCTCAGGGGAGAGTCTTCAATGAGAGAAAACAGGTGGCATGACCGGCACTGGCCAGCACTCTGCTTCCTGGCAGCACAAAGGGCTCCTCAGCAGGACTGGTGAAGGTAGAGAGCTGGGTCCAGTTAGCAGAAGACCTGGAAGCTGTGAGAAGAGGGAATGGCCTGGGCGAGGGGCAGAGAGGGAGCTGGCAGGGGGGAGGGGAGGAGTAGGAGCTGTATCTGCTTGGTAAACATTAAAGTTCCAATTCACTAGTTAAAGATTGGCTTTTGTGCCCTCACTCCACCAACTGAGAATACAAAGCAAACCAACACGCTCCTCTCTGGCTGCCTCCCCCAGCCGCTCCGTTCAGCCTGGTAGACGTGCAACATCGCGGCCATCATGCCGCCCGGCTCAGGCCCCCGGAACTCAGGACGGGTCATTTCCATGGAAATTCAATGTGACTTTCCTTGAGTTTACCAGGAAAGACATTACAGTAGAGAAAGAACTCACTGCATTTGTAGCAGGACGCTCTCAGGATGTCTCTTCCGTCTCTTCTCCCCTGCCCGCTCGCTTTTCCCCTAGCCTCATTTTCTCTCCATTTCTTTCTCTTTTTCTTTCTTTTCCCTTCATGCTTGTTTCCTCCCTTCTGGCCATTTTCCTCTCCCTCTTGTCCCTTCTCACTTTCACACCGTTTTCTTTCATCCTTCTCTCGCGCTGTCCTTTCTCTCGCCTCTCCCCCGTCTCCCCTAATGCCCTCACTCCTGTCCTTCTGCCCGCCCAGCTCTACCCTGGCACCC